AGTCACTGTACCAAAAAGAACTGGTAGATCTTCATCCATTTCAGGAGGTGCCATATGATCAAGAACCAATGGGACTAAAGGAAGAAGTCAAACCTGCACTAAAGGAATTGGTGAAGAACAAGGCTCCAGGAATTGGCGGAATATCCATTGAGATGTTTCAACATATGGATACACTACTGGAGGCACTCACTTGGTTATGCCAAGAGATGTGAAAGACATCTACCTGGCCAACTGATTGGAAGAGATCTGTATTTGTACCCATCCTAAAGAAAGGTGATCCCACAGAATGTGGAAATTATCAAACAATGTCATTAATATCGCACTCAAGTAAGATCTTACTGAAGATAATTCAAAAACAGTTGCAGCAGTAGATTGACAGAGAACTCCCAGACATGCAAGCTGGATTCAGAAGAGGTAGTGGAACAAGGGATATCATAACTGCTGTCAGGTGGATCTTGGCTCAAGGTAAAAAATACCAGAAAGATGTGTACTTGTGTTTTATTGACTATGCAAAGGCATTTGATTGTGTGGATCATAACAAATTGTGGATGAGATTGAGAAAAATGGGAAATCCAGAACACTTGATTGTGCTCATGAGGAATCTCTACCTTGACCAGGAGGCTGTTGTTTGAATAGAACAAGGGGACACTGCATTGTTTAAAATCAAGAAGCGAGTGCATTAAGGTTGTATCCTACTTATTCAGTCTATATGCTGAGCAAATAATCCAAGAAGCTGGACTATATGAAGATGAACATGGCATCAAGATTAGAGGAAGAATCATTAACAACCTGAGATATGCTGACGACACAACTTTGCTTGCTGAAAGTGAGGATGACTTGAAGCACTTACTGATGAAGATTAAAGTACAGTCTGCAGTATGGATTACATCTCAATATAAAGAAAACAAAAATCCTCATGACTGGACCTATAAGCAGCATCATGATAAATGAAGAAAAGATTGAAGACTTCACGTTGCTTCATTCTAAAATCGACGCCAATGGAAGCAGCAGTCAGGACATTAGATAATGTATATCACTGGGCAAGTCAGCTGCAAAGGACCTCTTTCAAGTGCCGAGGAGCAAGGATGTCTCCTTGAGGACTAAGGTGCACCTGACACAAGCCATGATATTTTCAATTGCCTCATATACATGTGAGAGCTGGATAATGAATAAGGAAGACTGAAGAAGAATTGATGCTTTTGAGTTGTGGTGCTGGCAAAGAATGCTGAAAGTACCATGGACTGCTAAAAGAACTAACAGATCTGTCCTGGAGGAAGTGCAGCTGAAATGCTCCTTGGAAGCAAGAATGTCCAGACTTCCTCTCACCTACTTTGGTCATGTTGTCAGAAGGGACCATTCCCTGGAGAAGGATGTCATGCTTGGTAAGGTGGAAGGTTGACAAAAAAGGAGAAGGCCCTCAACACAATGAATTGACACAGTGGCTGTGACTATGGGCTCAAGTATAGCAAGGATCATTTAGCTGGTGTGGGACAGGGTGGTGTTTTTTTCTGCTATGCATAGGGTCACTATGAGTTGGACACGACTGGACAGCACCTAACAACAACAACAACAACAACAACAGAGTCACCCACGGTGGACAGGTTTAAGTGGAGCTTTCAGACTAAAACCAACTAGAAAGAAAGGATTGATGATTTTCTTCTGAAAAGTACCCAGTAAAAACCATATGGATCATAAGAGGCTATTGTTTGACACAGTGCTGGAAGATGTGCCCTGAGTTTGGAAGATACTCAAAACACACAGTGGCCAAACAGTGGACCCAAGCAAACAAGTGGTCATGAAGATGTTGCAGGACTGAGCAATGTTCTGTTCTGTTGTTCTTGAGTCGCAGCCAACTCAACAACTAACAACAACATACATTATCCACTCTACAAGAGATTTTTCACTGCTAGCCTATTTAATCACCAAAATAATTACCTTTTGGAATAGGTTTGAACTGAAATCCCTGTTTTACAAAGGAAGAATCTGAGGCTCAGAAAAATTGTTACACTGAGACTTCGAGGAGTCAATCTCTTCTCTATGCATGATTAGGACCAGAGTCAAACACACGGAGAACAAAATGTCAGTTTTATTACTGCTGAAAGCTATTTTGGAGATCATGGACTGGCCAAATAGGTTTGATAACATTTCCTACATTCAAATTAGATTTCCTCACAAACCCAGTCACTGGAATATATGAACAATTTAGACCTCTCCTTACCAGGGTGAGCCCCTTACTATAGGACAAAAGGCAAACCTGGGAACAAGTCCTCTGCAGACAAGCAAATCTCAGAGAGAAAATGCAAAGGACATACACATTTTCTTCTTCCAAAGTCATCAATTAACTAGCTTGCACCTTTCAAAGGAGGAGAGAATAAGGGGAGATAGGAATATTATTCGAGAAAGTTTCTTCACATGGTATGAGCAAAGAAAAATATGTATCCCCCTTAAACACAGTTACTCATTGTGTTGTAGAGCAGGTTAGTATCAGAAAAAATTTGAGCCCTACTCTGATTCTATGTGAAAATATATCTGAATGCCTTAGCCCACTGATCCACACTATTTCAGAAACATGACAATGTATTGCCCTCTTTCTCCTCTGTACTTCATACATAAATCCACTCCATGCCATGAGTCAATTCCAATTTGTGGTGACTCCCATGTGTGTAGAGCAGAACTGCTCCACAGGGTATTCAAGGCTGAGAATTTCCAGAAGCCAATCACCAGGCTTCTAGGTAGATAAGAACTGCAAACACTTTGACTAGCAATGAAGCACTGAGATATTTGTCCACCCATGGACTCCGAATGATCATATAGGATATTAAAAAGAGTACTATACCTGGAACTAGGACACTTCATTTTAATTTCAGGTATGTGTTTTGCTTCATGACTTTAGACAAGAAAAGATCAAAGGAAATCAACATGTCCTAAATGCCTACTTTTTGCCAAGCATTGCATTAGGGTTTACATACATAATCTTAACTCTCTCCACAATGCTGAAGACTGTTGTGGTTTGGTTTGGTTTGGTTTTGCTTTCCACACATGGAGACATTGAAATACAGATTAAGTAAATTGACCCAAATTACACAATTAGGGAGAAGTGAGGCTCCAGACTCCAAGTTTCTGATCCCAAATCTGGTGTTTCTCTATTTCACTCCTGGCTCTCTGAAGCCATGCTTAGATTGTTTCTCTCAGTAGAATAAGACAAGTGAATTAGATGCTTAATGATAATTTTTCTGGCTCTAAAAAGCATCTTCTTGAGGGGTAAATGAACTGAGAATGGTCACTTCTCATCTACTAAGTGAAATAGAAACTTATCAAATGCCTTTTTAGCAAGTGTGTATATATGTCTTAGTTATCTAGTGCTGCTATAAAGAAATACAACAAGTGGATGGCTTTAACAAATAAATTTATTTTCCCACAGTGTAGGAGGCTAGAAGTCCAAATTCAGAGTGCCAGCTCTAGGGGAGGGCTTTCTCTCTGTGTCAGCTCTGGGGAAAGGTCTTTGTCGCTTCAGCTCCTATTTCTTGGTTTCCTGGATATCTCCATGTGTCTTGGCATCTATCTTTTCACTCTCCCTGGTGGCTTGCTTGTTTTATCTCTTTTATATCCCAAAAGAGATTGGCTCAAGACACACCCTACACTAATACTGCCTTACTAGCATAACAAAGACAACTCATTCCCAAATAGGATTATAACCACTGGCATGTTGTTGTTATGTGCCCTCAAGTCGGACTTGACTCATGGCGACCCCTCCTTGGGTTTCTGAGGCAGTATCACTACAGAAGTAGATTGCCCAATCTTCCTTCTGAGGAGTGGCTGGTGGGTTTGAACTGCCAGCCTCCTGGTTAGCAGTCAAGTGCCTTAGGCACTATGCTGCCAGAGCTCCCAACCACCGGCACAGAGGGTAGAATTTACAATACATATTTTGGGGAGACACAATTCAATCAATAACAGTGTGTGAGTGTGTGCATGAAATTTTTTTAAGTGCTTAGACATGGTTTTACTCATTTTCTTATTTCTTCAGTATTTCAAAGTCTTTCTAAACCATTATCCCCTTCTTGTGAGTCATGACTATCTCTTCACTTCCTGTTTGTAGCTCTCACACTGTCTGCCCATCACTACATCTCAGATTTTCACTTTTGAAAGGCTGTGGTTGAAGGAACATGGCCCTAGCCACACCTGGTTGAAGTCAGAGTCTTACAACCCCCAGCTGTTTAATCTGGGGCAAGCTCTCTGACCTGAGTTCCTGCTATAAATTAATCCTTTATAGAGGTGTTGTAAGGAATAAATGTAATGAATGTCAAGTTTCTAGCACACAGTAGACTCTCATGAACTGCAGCTACACTAATGAATGCTATACCTCTCTTTCCTTCTCCAGAAGAGAGCCTGGCTGAAAATGGTCAGCTTTATCAAGAGCTTTTGCAAGTACCGCAGATATATGTTGGATCATGATAAGCGCCAGGAATTTGAAGACTATCTTTATGTGGAACTGCACAATAACAAGGAAAGTAAGTCACTTTACTATTTAATTCTCTTCCTCACTGGTATTTCATCCACAAGGACTAGCCCAGATAGGAACCTGCAGCACTTATTGCTTGGTGCCATGTTTGTGCCAGCCTGAGGACTACCAAGAACTCCAGATCCTGGATGCAAAGGATCTCCAGATCTCAGGCCTGCTGAGAGAGGATGCCAACTCATAGCTTCTGCTCAAGGAGTAGTCCAAAGCACTACTAGAGCTTCTGTTTCATGGACCTGGTTCTTTATGTTGTTTAATTTGGTTTGTAAAAAAGTCTTTTAAAATCTCTGCTTCCAAAATTAATTTTTAACAAAAGTTGCTGAGTTTATTTTAATTCATGCCAACCATGTATGTCAGGGTGGAACTATGCTACATAGGGTTTTTGAGGGCTGATTTTTCTAAAGTAGATCACCAGGCCTTTCTTTGAGGCACCTCTGGGTCAAGCACCTCATAACAAGTCCCTGGATGATGCAAACATTGAACACACTCAGCTGCTAACTGAAAGGCTGGGGGTTCTAGTCCACCCACCGGTGCCTTAAAAGCAAGGCTTGGTGATCTACTTTTGAAAAATGAGCCCTTGGGTGGCCATGAGTTACAGATGATGTGAGGGCAATTGCTTTGACTAGAATAAAGTCACCCTTTACTGATTTCAAAAGTACTTCCCTCATTTGTACTGAGTTTCTATAGTTCAGGGGTCCTGGAGATCCTGACTTATATTAATATGTATTTCTGCTCTACTCTGTTTTCCTAAAGTATGTACATCAGTTAAGCTGGTTGTATAGTCATTGGAAAATTTTAGTATCTAGGCTCAGTGTCTCTAACATCACATGAATTCAACAGCTGTTCATTTATTTAGTAGGTATTTATAAATTACCTTCTATGTGTTACACACTCTGCTAGATGCAGAGGATAAAGCAATAAACAAGATAGATACTGTCCCTGTCAGAGTCCCTGGGTGATGCAAATGGTTAACACATTTGTCTACTAATCAAAATGTTGCGTGTTCGAGTCTACCCAGAGGCACCTCACAAGAAAGGCCTGGCAATCTATTTCTGAAAAATCAACCACTGAAAACCCTATGGAGCATAGTTCTATTCTGACATATATGGGGTCACCATGAGCTGAAATTGACTGATAGTAATTAATCAATGGAACATACACTTCAGAATGGCAGACAAGCAAAACAAGAATAGCCAAATGTATTTAATGTTAATTAGGAAAGTACATACTGTTGTGAGAGTCCAGGAAGAATAAAAGTAGACTACAGGGTAATGGAGACTACAGAATAAAGGCCCCCAACAAGATGGACTGACATTGTGGCTGCAACGATGGGCTCAGGTATAGCCCTCAGGTTTGTGAGGCTGGTGCAGGGCCAGGCAGTGTTTCATTCTGTTGTACATAGGGTCAGTACGAGTTGGAACCGACTCAACGACACTGAACAACAACAACAATTGGATAATGGAAGGCCTCCTGGAAGAAGTAGCAACTAAATTGAATTCTGAAGGATGAGTGAGAGTAAATCAGAAAAAGGATAATGAAGAAGATGGTTCCAAGTAGAGGACATGGCAGAGAGGTAAGGGAGAGGATGAAGCATTGGAAGAATTACAAGAGGATCAGTATGGTTAGAGGTTAGAATAGGGACTTTTCTTGATGTTCCATGTCTTTGGAACCATTGTTTCATATATTTTGTCTGAATTTTTTTATTGTTTCAAATAGAAGGATAAATCTAATTCTTGTTACTCCATCTTGGACACAAGTACTAATAAAAGGTTTTAGCACAGAGTAGCAAGATCCAATTTGTTTTAGAAAGTGATCTTTCTGCTGTATAAAGAATGTGTAAGGAATGTACTAGAGGAAGAGTTCTAGTAAGATGGAGGACTAGGCAGAAAGACTGCACAGACCCTCTTCAACAAAGAAAAGGGAAAACAATTAACACAGACACAGAAGATAATCCTGGACCCCTGTGCCTTGAAGAGAAGGCTATAGAAGTGGACTAAACCTCAACTAGCAGAAGAATTTGCATGAAAATACCAAAAAAAGAGACAGACGGACCTGCAGTCTGGCAGAGATCCTGATGGCACAGACATCTTGGAGAGTGCTGAGTGGTGGTAGGACCTAAGAATTAACCTAAAAATCAGCCCTGCTAGCCAGGGACTGCATGGAGGATGGCTCTGGTGGCTGGGGAATAAATGGAGAAGGTGAAGAGAAAGGCGGGCTGAGTTGTAGACTTTTGCCTGTCTGGAGGGTGCCGCCATTTTGAATGTTTACAAGTGGCTTGACCATTTTGGATATTTAAAGAGACAGCGTTCTCATAGATTCCAGGGGATTAAGAACAGGTTCTGCTTGCCAGCAACCCTAAGGACACTCCAGACCTGCACGACTGGAAAGGTGCGACATTCTTCTTGTTACTCTTATACCCCACACCCACTTGGTGAATGGAGGTGCAGCCATCCCCCACTCCCACCCACCTCCTACCTAGGCTGTCAGGAACTCCATCTCAATCTGTGTGCTCAGATGGAGCCTGGGTGCCCTGTCCTGTCCTCCACTGATTTTTTTTCTCTTTTTTTATTTTTATTTTTTTTCTATTTCACTTTCTTTCTTCTGGTGTTTAGTTTGCTTGTATCTGTCTGTTTTACAACTACTATTATTATTAATACTTTTGTTCTTTTCACTATTATTCTTTATTCTTCCCCTCCCAGGTCCTAGTTTTCAGCTTTTTTTCTTTTCCCTGTTCCAGGTTGAAAAAAAAAATTTTTTTAGTGTAATCCCCCTTTTATCTCATGGTTAACCCCATTCCTTGTTTTTCTTTTTGCATTTTTCCCATTTTTTTTCTTCATTATTCTCCTTCTGTACCTTTTTTCTCTTACTGTCCTATCCCCAATTATTGCAGGTTTTCTTGTTTCTTTCTTCTCCTTTTTCCCTTTTTTGGTTACTCTTCCTGTGTGATTACATGGTGTGTTTTTTGTCCATGTGCTTTTAGTTTTTTGATTGTTATTCAATTTGTAACTTTTGTCTAACTGAGTGGAAGACAGCAACAGTCCCCATAAGACACAACTATGCCCACACCTCCTGCAACTTCACTTACTGAGCAAGAGCCACTATCTCCTTCTCCACCAACAGGCCAATGATAAGTAACCACCAAGAAGAGCCTGAATCACCCTCGGCTGCTCTTCACAAATAGTTAACAGAGATCTAAATACAACAATGCCACGATGCCTCGGAAACAACAGACCATCACAGTCCACACAAAGAAGCAGGATAAAGTGGTAGAAACAAGGAAGCAGGATAGAGA